ATCATGATTCTTAGTGATTTGGCAGTTAAGTAATGATGTAATTTGATAGTTATATAATGATGTAAAGGTACCCTGGTAGCACAAAGGGTAACTCATGGGGTGGCTAACTGAAAGGTTGGAGATTCAAACCCACCAGCCACTCTGCAGAAGAAAGAAGTAGCCTGCTTCCAGAACTATCTATAACCTCCAAAACTTGATGGAACATCTACTTTCTCCTATAGGATCAGTAGGAGTTGAAACAGAGTCAATGGCATGGGCTTGGTGTTTTGGTTTGAGATAATGTAATTTGGCATGTGTAATGATGTAGTTATCCTCTAGTTTGCAATCTTAAGTAGTCAATATTCATTTTCAAGTAACACTGATTTTCTCATTAATGACCTGTCTTTGAAATGTAGCCATGTCAGTAAGTGAGAAGTGAGTGTATTGTTTTTATGTCTGAAGTTTTATGGCTGAAAAAAAAAAAACTACAGGTAAAAGTGACAGGATTGAAAAAACTTATTTTCAGTACAGAAGTTTTCTAAAAACAAAATCAAGATGGCATGTGAAAGCATATAAATACTAGTCCGAAGAAAGTTATTTAATATCAGATAAAGTATCAGATAAAGATAAAAAATATTAAGAGATAGCATGAGATTTTAAAATAATTCAACAGGAGGATACTATAGTCCTATATTTGTATGTATTTCATAATAGCTTCAAAATTTATAAGGCAAAGATAGTACAAACTAAAGAACAAATAGAAAATCCAGAATCACAGTTGGAGTTTTAATACACTTATCTCAGCAAATAATTTAATAGACAGAATCAGCAAGAATATAAAAAATTTAAACATAATTAAGCAGCTTGACTTCAATGGCATCTTTAAACGACTACCTTCAATGACTGGACAATATATATTCTTGTCCAGTGCATAGGACACATTTATTAAAAGTGACCACATACCCAAACATAAAGCAGACCTTAACAAACTTTAAAAGGTTGAAATTAATTAAATTAAGCTAGAGATCAGTAGCACATAACTAGAAAATTCCTACCAATATCTGGACATTTTCAACATGCTTCAGAGCAAAGGGGGAGACAATTAGTCAAAGAACAAACATTTAAATTAGAAGATCTTCTGAAACAATAACAATAAAATAACTATATAAAAACTTAGAGGCTACACAAATTAGAGAAATACTAAAAATCTCTAAGTTTCTATCTCACGAAATGAGGGGGAAAAGAAAACAACTATATTAAACTCAAGGAAAGGTGAGCAACAAAAATGAAAAACCCACATAAATTGAAAGAGAAAAAAACATAACAAAAACCAATAATATGTAAAAAAAAACAAAAAAAGCATTGTAATAAAGACATTCAACAAATCAAAAAGACAGCTTTTTATAAGATTAATAAAGCCCATCTATAGATAATTAGATATCTCCCCCACCCCCACCCCCCAGAAGGCTACTAAGGGATGATTCAGCCAAGGTGCAGTATAGCACTGACCATCACTCCTCTAGTTCCTGAATGCGTCACCCTGCCCCCCACCCGCACCACAACCCAGTTCTACCTTACAAATCTGGCTAGACTATTGGTACAAATAGAGCTCTCGACACATGGAATTCAGGACAGATAAACCCCTCAGGAACAGTAGTGGGAGTAGCGTTACCATGAGGGGAGAGGGATGGTTGGGGAAGGGAAAGGGGTTCAAAGGGGGAGCCTATCGCAAGGTTGGATATATACTGCCCCCCAAACGGGATGAATAACAGAAATGTGGGTGGAGGGTGACAATGGATAAGATATGAAGTAACAATAACAATATGTAATTGATCAAGGATCCACGATGATGGGAGGTTGGGGGAGGAAGGGGGTAAAAAGAGGAACGTATACCAAGGGCTTATGTAGAATATGTTTTGGAAATGATGATGGCAGCATATGTACAAATATGCTTCATACAATTGATGTATGGAATGTTGTAAAAACCGAATAAAATGATATTTTTT